GTTGGTGGATCCTGCCGTGTCATCGAAGTTCCTCAGGCTGAGGATTGTCTGCAGCCTGTAATTAACATAGTTCCATTGCAGGTAAAGTAGCCACTTCTTTTATTACAAATACCTTAATATCGTTGCTGGAACTTTATGCATATGCAAATATTTATGCCTTTATGGTACAATATAAATACTTCAGAACTCATCATTAGAAGGATGTGCACTTTTACCTCACTTCTTTCTAGAATGCCTGGAACCTATTAATGCAAGAATAATAAGATTAATAAATGAACTTGAACTTTATGTTCACCTTGTTGACTCTTGTGTAATTTGTACAATAAGATAATTGTCGGGGTTGAATTCAGGTCACGAATATGCAGTTTTTGTTTGAGCGAGTACCGGAGCCGTAGAATGAGAGGATTGATGTTTGATCTTCGAATTCAAGGCTTCATGGCCACTCATAGTTTAAGCAACAAATTCTTAATTTGCTCCATTTTTCTGAAGCATGATGAGTTTGTAATTTCCCTTTGAGCGGATTGTGTGACTGATATTTAATGAAAAATAGCTTTGATAATTGAAAATTTCTTCATAATTTTTACATATAGCCATGTTATCTATTATGTTCAAGCTAGATCTACTGCTAACTGATCTATCTTTTCAAATCTCTGCAGCTATTGGCTTATCATCTCACCGTTCTAAGGGGACACAATGTTGATCAACCTCGGAATCTTGCAAAGAGTGTAACCACCCAATGAACCACACAAAATTTTTATTTTTTTATTTTTCTCTTCACTCCTTTCTTGGTTGCGGAAATTTGTCTCAAGCTGCAGATATTCCATCTGACCACGAACCGTTAATCTGCCATGTTTCCCTCTGCTAATTCTTGTGACCCTATACGATAAACGATTGAGATTTGATGCTTGATATGATTAAAAAAAATAACTTTATTCCCTGACCTTGTTGATTCCTTTTTCATCCAGATGAACGGTGATTGTACCTCACTACATTTCCGCTGCTTGCTTTGTGTAATATAATCTCTCTTCGAAGTAGTAATGGAACGTCAGATTTTTGCTCTTAAGTTTCTTGTTCCTTATTTTCTCCGAAAACTGTATCCTTGGCTCTTACCGGGTCTCCACACCAGCATTTTCAGCCTAAAGAACAGCTAACGTTCTGTTACATTTCCAGTGCTTATTATGAGGTGGTCTTCCAGTTTCAGTACAATGACTGGCAAATTGGTAGAAAGACAAATAAAAGAACGGTAAACCTGTCTGTCTCTCGTCATGTTTGGTTGTTCAAAAGCAGCAATTCTTCTGCTCTTGGTTTAAAAATTTTTTTTTTTTTTTTTTTTTTTTTGGGGACTACTCTTAAGCACAATGAAACATGAAGGATGACTGTTGAGCACTATCAAGATCTTGGTGAAACTAGGACATAACGATTCTTTTTCCCGCTTCTAAAAATCGAATTATCTGATTGTCGTAGCCGTTGGGTGTCAAGGCCTCAGTATACAATCATCTCGCAAGTTACGTTTGCCAGATTTAAGCACCTCTTTGTTCTAAAGAGAATCGAACTGAGGACCAATGAATATTTTGAAAATGGAATAGTTGGTTCTACCTCTAAGTATGAAATAGGACCAAAATCGAGCCATTCGATTCTTGTCCATTTAGATTCCTTGGATTAAATTTTCAAATTCACTAATCGATGCACATAAAGTGTTTGGTTGTACAAGTTCTTAAGCTACAATCATTTAATATCCAATTCTCCATAATTTATTAATTTACACTAACTACATTTTACATCAAATGGTTAACTATTGGCTTAACTGAGTTCTTTAAAAATATATAACAATATTAATCTATTTTCTTTATTGTTCAAGGAGGGGTCGAAAATTTTAACTTGGAAAACAAGAAAGGAAACTCAAGTCTCTTATTAATCTAAAATTACAACTGATATTTAATGGATCATTATGTCCTAGTTTAGAAATAATACCATGTTAAATTGCATGTGTGTGATGTTCTAGGATGAAATTCACAAGTAAAATGATTGATACATCAGTCGTTTTTAAAAATAAAAAGTAAAAATTTCGGGTTAAATTATTATTTTTTGATTCTTGGTATTAAAATCGAGAATTGGATCTACCTAAAATCAATTACAGGTCGAGTAGAATCTGACGATTTCCAACAATTTGGATGACTTGTGCTTGCCCTGTGGTTTCTCGACGGGCTTTGCATTTTATAGTTTTTCAAGAAAAAATTAGAAAAACAAACATATCCTTTTCATGTCCAATTTGCATTGAATCCTATTTTTTGCTGTTTTCTTTTTCCTGTCCATTGGATCATCTCCAGTCATGGTTTAAAATTGATTTAGATATCTAAAGTGGTCGAAAATCTCTCCAAATTGCATTTCCAGCAGAAAATGTAGATTTTTCAGAGGAAGATCTTATAATGAACTTGCTCTCTTGTTTTATATATGTTTCCTTCCAAGCTTAAGCACGGTCTAAACTGCAAACTTTAGACACCGAAACCTCGTTCATTTGACTCCTTGTACCTGCCAGAGATCAGTAGAAGCAAACAAGCAATCGGCGACAAAAGGTGTATAGTGGAAAAGTGCACATGTATGCTCATCCATTAGGTTGGGCAGCTAATTTGCAGAAGAGGGTAGGATAGAATAGAGAAAAAAGTAGTCAAATGAGAACTAAAATCCTCAGTTAATATCAGTAAAAGTTCGAACAACTGGGTACAGATACTTTGTATTACTACGATACGATGTGTAGTTTCTTGAAACTTTTGTATGAATCTCTAGTTTTGGCGAATGAACTTATTTGTTCTGGATAGGAAAAAGAAATATTTATTATGCATTTCATGGTACTTGAAAATGACCCTGAAATTTGCTTGAATCCTTGGTGAATCTATCACGCAGAGTCTAGTAAAGAGGTATAATTATCAAGAAAATCATTTACAGAAATTCAAATAAATATTTGAATATCAGTCTCATCGACATCATACTAAATTCCATCAGTCGAATCATTATTTCAAGTGGGTATCATACCTCACAGAACAACGTTCTGCCTTTCAACCAATTGATCTAATCTTGGAGAGCTTCTTTTGCTAAAACTCGAGCAGTTTGCTGTAATTAAGCTAATGGCAAGTCTAGCAAATTTTTAAAGACTTGCCCGTCATCATATTTGACAAGTCTTTTAATGGGTAAAAAAAAAAAAAAAGTTGAACCCCAAATTTGAGGGTCCCCTACCGCCTCGTCCCTGGAGTATCGTAAGGAAGGTAAATCGTGGAACGTGTCTCAGCAGGCTAAGGAATAAGAGCTTGCTTGTACACTGGTGCTCACAAAGAGTCCAATTTCATATCTCAGGAATTGAACCCTCATACTGCGGCTGCCAACAAGACTGATATTACCTCACTTCTATCTTTTGCACCACTGGGATATACCCGAAGGGACCTTTTAACGGGTACATCACACTATACAAGTGATTGCATGTATTTAGGTATCAAATTTGGTAAGTCTTTAATAGGGACAGTGCATCATACAAGTGATTGCATAGATTTATAATTGATTGAGCCCTTGGTACATATTCTTTAAAACTCATTTTCCTCTAATAAATCATTTTCTTTCTTCAAAAAAACAATTTTGTATGTGAATTCATTCATAACTTCTTCTTTTTTTTTTTTCTTTTTTTTTTTTTTTTTAAACATAGGCTCTCTAAAAAATCACTTTTTACAAAATCTATTTAAAAAAAATATTTATATCCAATAGCGTTTACTATGAAATACATTAGTTATGGAAGCTTCTGGACAAGTTTAACTAGAAGTGTGGAGAATGGTGTCATCTCCTATTAAGTTAAAAAATGCTCTCTTGAAAAAGCTATGAACCCTTGTCCAACTTTGGGAGGAAATACACGAAAATGGCTCTTCCATTGTAGTAAAATTTGACATTGGCCTTTGACCCATTAAATGAATTAAAAAAAAAACAAATTAAGTTAAAAAAAAAAAAAACTTCACAGTAAAAGGCGATTTTACCCTTCAAACTGTTTGAAAAATTCTGTCTAACCGATCGACCGACGAACAGTCACCAGAAATTTGACCGATCAACCACCGACCACTACACCAATGTCGCAGTCAACGACCATCATCTACATCGGAAATAAAATAACCGATTAATTTTCATGATGACTTTTTGTTTCAGTAGAAAATTTATTGAATAAGTAAATTTAGCATTTTCCTTACATTATTCGGTTTAATTAGATCCATGGGCATGAGCAGTTAGATTGTGGGCATGCTAAGAGTGTGAAAAATGTGAATTTTTTGCAATTTTTGGAGCTCTGTCGCCGACAATGGCGATTTCCGGCAACCAACTGTTAACAGTCAACAGTTGGGTAAACCGACTGTTAACAGTCGGCCCAGACTGTTATATATTTAATTTTTATTTGTTTTTTTATAATTTTTGTAATTAATTAAATTTTTTATTTGATTAAATAGTAATTATGTTATTTATTTATTTAATTTTTATTATTGTCAATATAATATAATAATTGAAATATTCTAAAATTAACAATTTTGTGTTGTTCCTTTTTTTTAATGAAATAATCTTTAATTTATTTTTTTAAATTTATTTAAATAATATAAATAATCTTTACATTTTTTGAAAATGTAAAGTAATTATTTATTTAATTTTTATTATTGTCAATATAATATAATAATTGAAATATTCTAAAATTAACAATTTTGTGTTGTTCCTTTTTTTTAATGAAATAATCTTTAATTTATTTTTTTAAATTTATTTAAATAATATAAATAATCTTTACATTTTTTGAAAATGTAAAGTAATTATTTATTTAATTTTTATATTTGTCTTTTATATAATTTAATAATTGAAATATTCTAAAATTAACAATTTTGTGTTATTCCTTTTTTTCTAAAATAATCTTTAATTTATTTTTTCAAATTTATTTAAATAATATAAATAATCTTTACATTTTTTGAAAATGTAAAGTAATTATTTATTTAATTTTTATACTTGTCTTTTATTCTAAAATTAACAATTTTGTGTTGTTCCTTTTTTTTTTTTTATGAAATAATCTTTAATTTATATTTTCAAATTTATTTAAATAATATAAATAGTCTTTACATTTTTCGAAAATGTATTAATTTTGAAATTTTTTGTTTGTAAATATATTTTCCAAATAATAATTATTTTATTTAATTATTTTATTTTATAATTTCCTTTTTTTATATAATTTAATAATTGAATACATAATATTGTTCGAAATTAACAATTTGTTTTGTTCCTTTTATTGTTCTTTTATGAAAATCTTTGATTTTTTTCAATTTATTTAAATAATATTTATATTCTTTAATTTTTTTGACAATACATTTAATTTGATTTGTTGTTTTTTGTAAATATATTTTTCAAATGTAATATTTGTAATTGTATGGTAGTTAGAGTTCGGTTCCCTTGATTTTGTGAGATTATGCTTTCTTTTGTTATCTCTTGTTCAATACTATAACATTTGAATTTTTGCAGGATGGAGTATCATTTAGATACAGAGTTGAGACGAATGGTGGGGAAAGCTGCTTGGAACAATAGTTTTGAGAGATTTACTGCTGTGTTGGAGCTGCTCGATGATCAGCACGGAGATATGCTACGACAGTCCTTCTTGTGGCCACTGTACCAGTTGCGAGAGGTGCAATACTCAAGACAGATCATTGATGCACTTCTATGTCGGCTTCTGAGGCCAGTCAATGGCGATTCTCTCCAGTTCGACCTCGGGGGCAAGGTCGTCAGTTTCTCGATGTTTGAGTTTACATTGATCACTGGACTGAGGATTACAGGCGACGATGCAGCCATGGAGAGAAGTAATAGGCTGTACGAGACGTACTTCCAGGGACATGGGTCGGTGCTTCTACCCGACTTGATGGTCGCGATCAGGGGGTGCGACCATATGCTAGATAGATTGAAGCTTGTCGAGAGTGTGATGAGGTGTCATCACAAGAAGACTGTCATCGACATTTTCATTTGCAAGTTGTTGATGACATTGATGCGTT